GATACTGCAATGAAAATAAGGGTAATGTTGGGCAGGGAGATAGACAAATGCCCATTATGGTTTTTTGTTTGTTTGGTTTTTAGACTTATTTAATTTTATTTATTATTATTAATTCACCAGAGAGAAAGGGAAAGTGAGAAAGCAAGCTGTTAGGTCCAGGACTTGAACCATGGTTGGCCATGTAGAAATCCAGTACCTCAGCCACCACGCTACCTGCTGGCCCCCTTGTTGCTTGTTTTTAATCCTTTTTTAGAAGTTGCTTTTCCCATGAGCGAGAGCAAAAGGAGACAGCAGTCCTGATAGGCCCCTGAAGCTGCAATCTACCCCTAACCCAAGTTAGCCCATGATTATGGGCACATCCATGTCTAATATACCCAGGGAGGTCTCTAGATGTGAACCCAGAAACCTCCCTTGTTTATCAGCCTCACAGAGTGTCATGTTGCACCACTGTACCACTGTCTGTCTGCCCTCGCTACAATTTTGAATGATTTTTTTTTTTTTTGAAGAGATTTTCACTGTAGGGCGCGTGCGCTCGCCAGACAGACAGAGAGGGACATAGAGACAGAAAGCGAGAAATCACCCCCCAGGGGGGATGGTCACGCCGCAATCCCTTCTCCTCCATTCTCCTCTTGGGATCTTGGGCACGCACGCACTCGCGCCCGGCGTGAGATTTAAGCCACCGGGTCCGGGACACGAACCGCGGTCGACTACGTGGCAGTCCAGCGACATAGCCATTACGCTAACTGCTGGTTCCCAATTTTGAATGATTTTTTTTTTTTTTGAAGAGATTTTCACTGTAGGGCGCGTGCGCTCGCCAGACAGACAGAGAGGGACATAGAGACAGAAAGCGAGAAATCACCCCCCAGGGGGGATGGTCACGCCGCAATCCCTTCTCCTCCATTCTCCTCTTGGGATCTTGGGCACGCACGCACTCGCGCCCGGCGTGAGATTTAAGCCACCGGGTCCGGGACACGAACCGCGGTCGACTACGTGGCAGTCCAGCGACATAGCCATTACGCTAACTGCTGGTTCCCAATTTTGAATGATTTTTTTTTTTTTTGAAGAGATTTTCACTGTAGGGCGCGTGCGCTCGCCAGACAGACAGAGAGGGACATAGAGACAGAAAGCGAGAAATCACCCCCCAGGGGGGATGGTCACGCCGCAATCCCTTCTCCTCCATTCTCCTCTTGGGATCTTGGGCACGCACGCACTCGCGCCCGGCGTGAGATTTAAGCCACCGGGTCCGGGACACGAACCGCGGTCGACTACGTGGCAGTCCAGCGACATAGCCATTACGCTAACTGCTGGTTCCCAATTTTGAATGATTTTTTTTTTTTTTGAAGAGATTTTCACTGTAGGGCGCGTGCGCTCGCCAGACAGACAGAGAGGGACATAGAGACAGAAAGCGAGAAATCACCCCCCAGGGGGGATGGTCACGCCGCAATCCCTTCTCCTCCATTCTCCTCTTGGGATCTTGGGCACGCACGCACTCGCGCCCGGCGTGAGATTTAAGCCACCGGGTCCGGGACACGAACCGCGGTCGACTACGTGGCAGTCCAGCGACATAGCCATTACGCTAACTGCTGGTTCCCAATTTTGAATGATTTTTTTTTTTTTTGAAGAGATTTTCACTGTAGGGCGCGTGCGCTCGCCAGACAGACAGAGAGGGACATAGAGACAGAAAGCGAGAAATCACCCCCCAGGGGGGATGGTCACGCCGCAATCCCTTCTCCTCCATTCTCCTCTTGGGATCTTGGGCACGCACGCACTCGCGCCCGGCGTGAGATTTAAGCCACCGGGTCCGGGACACGAACCGCGGTCGACTACGTGGCAGTCCAGCGACATAGCCATTACGCTAACTGCTGGTTCCCAATTTTGAATGATTTTTAAAAACAAGATAGTGGAGAGTACTTGTGCTGGAAAATCAGTTTTCTTGAAGAAACACTTGGCTTGACTATTAGAAGCAAAGCCAAAACCTGACCGAAGATGACATAGGGCTTAACCCATAAAAAGGTGATGTTTGAGTCTTCTGAAGAACAGATTAGGGCCACTTAGACCAGCAAAGAAAAATGAGAAGGTGTAAGGAGGAACTAGTTGGTGGAGCTCATGAAGGAGAGACCAGATCAGGAAGGACCGTGTGGATCGGGAGTTGACATTGAGAGACTGGCTAGTGCCACTCCTGGAGGAGACATCAGAGTGAGTGAGCTCATCTCATGATCTATGATAAAGCTTCTGTTGCTACTCGGTGATTTTTGTGCCTGGACCCCGAGACTTGAGTTCCACACTAAGCAAATTGTCTCATTTAGAGAACCCTCTTTTTAAGGTTCAAGATAGTGGTAAGTTCCGTAGAGCTGAAGGGGAGGGTTGAGGTCCTAGAACCTGGCAGAGCGGTGTAGTGTGGAAAGCCCCTCACCCTGCTATGTAACAGAGCTGATGCTGGACTACTCTAGTTTGAGATTTTCCCCAAAAGGAATAGGAAACGTTGGTGGAAACCATACTGCTACATATGCATACTTCCATTTTTAGAAATAAACTATACCACACTGTACATGTGGATTCACACCTTACTTTTTTCCTTTAACAGTATATCCTGGGAATATTTTATATCAACTCATTCTTTTAAATTACTTTATAACATTCCATTGTATTGAAGAACCATATTTTATTGGCTGTTTAAGATGTTTTCTATTTCAAAATACTGTAGTGAAAAACTGGTTGTTTTGGAGCACTTTGTAGCATATTCATCTCAAAGTAGAATTACTGGGTCAAAAATAATCCTTTGAGTTATTTAGAAACTACTGGGTTAAAGGTAAAATATTTAGTAGGTGCCTTCTACGTGCTAGGCACTGTGGGAGAGTCTGGGGATAAACATGTGAATAAATTAGGCTTAATCCCTGCTATCATAGAACTTTACAGTCTGTCTTATAAAGTATCCAGGCCTGCTGTGCAGCGCAGTGGAAATACACTCTTCAAGGGAAGCTAGACCCTCTGGCAGCCACCGTTCACATCCCTGACCCCACGTGCCCAAAACATGCTGATCACTTGTGTGAGTGCTCAGGCTCTGGAAGGATAGAGGACTGCAAGGAAGGGGGATTGTGGCATGAGCAGACCCTGTAAGGGTGTTCCTCTTTC